GGCAAAATTAATGTGAAAAAAAGCATGAATCTGTCTACATTTACAGATGAATGCAGAGATGGACTTATGGTGAACAAATACAAAACTGATTCATGATTCCATAAATCTACTTCATTCCATATCTAATCAAAAATTCAACTTCTGCCCTCGCTATCTCTAATTTTACATCTGCCAGTAATAGCAATGAAACATCATTACATCTTTGGAGAAGAGTGGATGGACCAGATAACATGAAACAAAAATGAGCTACTACAGGCATACAATCCTAGGCAGGTTTAACTCTCAAAAAGCCAATTGTACTTCATGGATTTTAGTCCTGGGCAAATGAATGCTGGATTTCAGTCCAAGACACTTCCCTTAAATTCACTGTATAAATAAAGTCAGCATATGATCAGCACCTTATAAAGTACGTAAAATTCAAGAATTTGCTGAGCATACAGTATTCTTTTTCTTTTTTTTTCCCAAATAACTTTCCTTAGGGTTTCGTCATGAAAATAATTTTATTACAACAGAACTGACAAACACAGCATATAAAGAATAGCAGTTGGGGAAATTTAATATATAGTGGCCCATAAATTAATTTTCTTTGGTTTTTGGACATTTAGGTCACCGCAATTCTGATCAAGTAAGTTTAAAATATCTCCGTGTTATACACACACACACACATACACACACACACAAACACAAATAAATATCAATGAAAGAGTTAGTTCAGAACCACAATTTAGACATAAAGGCAAATTAGATGGAGTGTCAATTCTGAAGTTTATAAAAATAAAGGTGTCAGTGATGTACGAGCAGTCTAGATGAACTATTATTCTTTCACTGCATGTTCTTCTGAATGATTGTTGAGTTTGAAATGTTTCATTTCTTTCCATTCCTTTTTTTACAAAGAGTGTTTTTTTTAAAAAAAAAAAAAAAAAGGAAAAGAAAAGGCAAAGGTAAGTGCTTTTTAACTACAGTGTGTGTGTGTGTGTGTGTTATATCAATCAGAACAGACAAACTTCTCTCTCTCTCTCTCATATGAAAATGAAACACTAATGGTTGGAAATATAGTAACAAATAAAGCCCAAATAACGGAGTAGAATTTATTTCCAAGTAAACATATGAAAGATTCATCTGTTATTGAGTTCACAACCCTATGTTTAGCCACTTAAGGTAAGAAATTAAAAGAATGTACAATAATAATAATAATTCAAATGGAACAGGATGGGATAGATTTCAGATTTAAAGCCTTTTTAGTGTTGTAAAAATACTTTTCAAGTTCATGGAATTTTACTAATAGGACTACAGTTAAATTAATTCTCTCTGACAGCTGAAAACTTTGCACTGTATAGCAGAGTTGACAGAACACCCCAAACTCAGGTTAACAAAACATAATTGTTCTCCTCACAAACACCCTCCAGATAAACCACACTGTGGCCTAGCATGAAGAATTGGTTCATACTGAACTTTTGGTTACAGGAGGTCAATAAATCTTATAAATAAGAGGGTTGGATACATGAATGAAAAAGGGAATTATAATGTATTTTAATGAGGGGAAGAGAGAACATTTTTTTGAAGAAGATGGGCTGTTCAAAAATGTGAAAAACATTGGTGATCAGAAGAGAGAGTTTGAAATTGGCTGGATGATTTTGAGCCAGGCATTTTTTTCCAGCCCAAGAGTGGGAAGTTGAAAATCATTGGTCTTTCCCAATCTTCACTGGACCAGTGTGGTAAATCATGGTCCATAACTTTCAATGAAGAGACCTTCATCCTGCAGTGGATTGATTTGGCATATTAATGATAATAAAAATAAAACAAAAATAGCAACAGTCACACTAGTATCTATCTATCTATCTATCTATCTATCTATCTATCTATCTATCTATCTATCTATCTATCTATCATCTATCATCTATATCATATATCTATCTCCTGCAGCTCTCCCAATGCTTTTACTGTAATTCTGAACAGAAGAAGAATGCAGAAATAATGAGAACAGGAAGAGTGCAAGGACAGAATCCTTATTCTTTCTGATTTGCACATCTTCATTAATTTGCTTTCCACCCCCTTCCCTTTTTCTCCCTTCGGTCCTCTACAAGATGACAGGTTAACAATCTAATCCTCCCACTCTGTTTTCCAAAGCCTGAATTATATCAAAGGTCCAAGCGGATAACTTTTGTCCTGGCCTCAAATGTGACGTCTCTATTCTAAGGAGCAAAGTTTAGTCTCCATGGCATCTCTGTTCAGAAGGTGAGGAAAGAGGGAGGGGAGAAGGAAGGATGGAGAGAGAAAAGAAAGGAGAAAAGAAGGAATGAGAAAGAGGAAGGGAGGGAGAGAGGATGAAAAGATCGAAATAGAGAGAGGGAAGAAAAAATAGGAAGGAAGAGAGGAAGAAAAGAGGAGAAAAAGAAAGAAAGAAAGAAAGAAAGAAAGAAAGAAAGAAAGAAAGAAAGAAAGAAAGAGCTAGAGAAAGAAAAAAAAAAGAGAGAAAGAGAATCCTTATAAGCCATAACAGTTATGCATGTCCAACTGGGATCTGGTCAAATTAATAATTATTGTTACCAAGGGTATTGTAGGAATCAAGTTTCTTATTGGCATTTCTTGTTTTTGTAAAAAAAAAACAACTTGTTAATGGCTGAAATTTAAAGAGGTTACAGGTTATTTGACTGGCAACATGTTACTTTTTTCCTTGGCAATGGCTGCATTATCACCTGCCATTAAGACCCCAGGGGGCCACAAGGTGAGGAAGTATGTGAGTCAGTGATTCTGGAGTGCTTGATGGTGATGTCATTCATTTACCTTTTCAGGAAGAATTCTCTGCCATTCCCAACCTCAGACCGCAACTCAAGAACCAAAGGTCCTATCCGAGGACCTTTCTTTTTGGGGTAATATAGGTCCTTGCTTGACATATTATCAAAAAAAGAGAAAAAAAGTGGGGGGAGGAGGGGAGACTGCAGAAGTTTTTCTCAGAAAAATAAAAGGCAATAAAAGGGTCTTCTTCTTTTTTAATACTTATGGATATCATGCAACCTGTTAGCATTGTTAACTTGCTTTTATTAGCTTCCTCTACTACGAGTCTTTACCATCCCTCCCTCTGTAGTCCAACAGCTGATTTTTCTCAGATCTCAAATCTAGGATTGAGGAATGCAGGTTGTGATTACCTGGCAGCCCTCTTAAGCACTCGGGATGATCTAAGACTGTCACCCTTCTGAATCTACACTGGCTGGTGCAACTGGCGCAATGGGAAGTTTTGATAGTTTTCGAGCTATTATGGAGATTGAAGCTTTGAATGGATGATAAATCATATGATGCGTGGTTAAGGGAACCAATTATGTTTCTAGCCTAATGAAGAGAAGGCTCAGGGGAGACCTGATAGCCATCTTCCAATACTTGAAGGGCTGCCACAGAGAAGAAGGGGTTGATTTATTCTCCATAGTACCTGAATGCAGGACAAGAAGCAATAGGGGGAAGCTTGTCAGAGGGAGATTCAGCTTGGGAATAAAGAGGAATTTTCTGACAGTGAGAACAACTCAGTGGAACAGCTATTTCATCGCTGGAGGTTTTCAAGAAAAGAGTGGACAAACATTTGTCCAGGATGGTATAAGGACACCTTGGGCAGTGGGTTTGACCTAGAAGACCTCCAAGATTCCTTCCAGCGCTATGATTCTATCATAGACTATATATCCTGCTAGCAGGCTATGTTTCAATTGGCCTTCTAGGGAACAGGACCCCTAAATAATGCAGGACCCCAAATATTCACAGCATCCCACAGTTTATAATATCCCACACTGACATAGGTTAAAGTCTCATAGGTGTCATATGTGGAACCACCTGTGAGAATACCCTAGTATGTATTCATTCAAGAGACAGCTTTTGTTGTGGTAGTACTTATGCAATGTCTTTGTCAAGCTACGAAGATTGCTTGCGCTAGGACAGCCAGGCCACTTCTAGCATGCCAACAGTTCTGAGGGAGGAGGGGAATGTATGGAATGCACAGGTGGTTTCTATCCATTGGGAAGCAAGATCGCAGGAGAGATGTTATGGTGAGCAGAGACTTTCTTCTCATAACAATGGCCTGGAGATTAATTGGACAATGTGATCTGAAGTGTCAGAGAGGAAAGGGAAAGATTTATTCTTTTAACTGTCTTTCTGGTGTGTATTGTCAGAGATGGTTTTCCATTCATTAGTGCCGGTATGCTGTGCTCAATAAAGTTTTGCATTAGAGATTGTAATGTCTCAGGTGTGCTTACTTCGTTGGGATCATCAGATGGAACTTTGACAGTCTTTCTTGGGGAAAGATGTTTAGCCCATACATTGCCCAATTTTATCTATTAACTTGAGCCAGAGCAGTTTGGAAAATAAAGGTACAGTTGGATTTGTTCAGGCTAGTTGAGCTGATCCTGATGAAGTCCACTTGTTCATCATGTAATGCTTTTTTGTTGTTGTTTTCAATTCTGTTTTTATTAAATACATTGAATTATTGACCCTTTTGCTTTCAATCCCTTGGGAACCTTCCACCAATTAATTTCTTACTTTGCTTCAACAAAGCTTTTCTTATGTTCTGACATGCTTCTCTTTCCCATGTGTGGCTAGAAGGGGAGTCATCAGTCAGTAAGAAGAGACTACTTTATTGGCCAATTTGTCTCTGGTGCAGAAGCTCCTGACCCACACCTGACCCCTCAAAGACCCATCACAAGATTCACAAGACTCATCACAAGATCGTCACCTGATGTGACCCTCCCATCACAAGACCACTGAAGATGGTACCTAACTTAGTAACGAAATGTTTGGAAACCAACCCACAAACTCAGAGGACAAACCTCCACTCTCAAAATCTACAATTTCTGAATAAATATCTAAAGTTTAAATGAAAATCCTGAAAACTCAGCAGGAACCCTAAACATAGCCTCTCTTCACATAACAAAATGAACGAGGATCCAGAATCCACCTGCATGCTAAGACAATTCCATTTTCAGCCATAGGTTTTGTAGGATATTTCCAGGAATGTACCTTCTATGGAATTCCTCCACAAGGTGTGGTTTGCTGCTCTCCCTTCTCTCAGAAACATCTTCCCTGCACTCCATGGTGCCAATCCACCCACCTCTCTCTTTCTCCACAATTTGGTTTCATTTACGAATGCGTTGCCAGCATTCAAATGAGTGGTCCATTCTTTGCCTGTGTCATTTTCCCACGTTGAGCTTGTCGGTGCTTGATGCAGAGTTTGGTAGCTAACCAGAGAAAGTGAGAGAGAAGAAGAAAGGAAAAGTGGGAAAAGAATTCTTTTCAATGCCAAACACCCACGTCCTTATATGGGGGTCATTTCACCCTCCTTCTACTTGGTCCCACTTAACCCCTTAAATGCTCATTGATGCTCTCTCTCTCTCTCTCTCTCTCTCTCTCTCTCTCTCTCTCTCTCTCTCTCTCTCTCTCTCTCTCTCTGTGTGTGTGTGAGAGAGAGAGAGAGAGAGATGGTGGGCAGAGAGGACTGAGGGAAAGACATAGAAGGAAAAAGCCTCCAGCAAACTCTACAGTAGATGTACAACATTTTATGCTCAACCTGGCAAACACAATAACTCAAAAACAAAGGACTTGAATTAGAGAATAGCATTCAAATGCATGTTTTCCAAACAGCCCAGAAAAGAGTCAGGATAGCCCTCTTAAGACAGAAATGTGGGAGAGAAAAGGTGCTAAAGAAAGAAATGAGTTAATGAAAGGAATGTAGAAATGCAGACTTTTTTTAAAGGAAAGGAAAGGAAAGGAAAGGAAGGAAGGAAGGAAGGAAGGAAGGAAGGAAGGAAGGAAGGAAGGAAGGAAGGAAGGAAGGAAGTTGATGGAGATTAAGATGCTGCTCAAAGTAACCCAACTGGCTTTCATGTCTAAGGTTCCTAGGCTAGCACCTTCACCACTAAACTAGCTCTAATGAGTCAAATGCTCCATAAAATGGGATGGACCCGAAACATTGATCAAATCCACACCCCGCATCATATCATGCTCTGTGGACAAAAATGAAAGGGATGATGATGATTGCATTTTCAGCTCAGAATTAATTCATCAGTTCAGTAATAAATTAATTAATCAGTTTAGTAAATAAAGTAATTTATGGATCAATATATTTCTCAACACTCCCCCCCCCAAATCACTTCTTTGGATTAAGCATATTTTTCTAGACATAGCATGTGAGATTCTGAAAATTTGGTATGTTCCCTTCACTGCCTTCATTTTTTTCTGGCCATTGTTAATATGAAAAAGTCAACCTATCTGAATCTAATTTCTAGAGCTGACGTAGACACAAAGGTGTAGAATTCTTATCCTGCTGCCCAATTGTAACATCATGTTATGGCCTTGGAAAGCATTGGTTTAAATCATCAGAATCTATTAAACAATGACATCCAAAACATTTTGGTAACCTTAAAAAAAAGCATTATTTTGTAACAACAATGATGATGCCATCTCTTCTCTAAATAACCTTATTAGATAATTACTTCTACCTGTTTTCATGCTTCACCTGGTGATCCAACATAACAAACAGAACATGCACCTACTGATGCCTGCACACGCTCCTGGCAATGGATAAAATAGATCCATTAGCTTTGATTAACCTCTTTTTAAAATAGACTTTAAAAACTTACTGCAGACGGCTATTGCTACGGAGACAGTAAGGTTTATCATGTTTAAGACCCAATTACTGTTGTCCCAAATAAGGATAAAACATCACAGTAAAAATGTGGCCCACACGTTGTGTTCAAGCACACATAATCATTAATTTATAATTCCAACTTTTGCTCTTCCTGTAATTTTATTAATGGCTGCAGTTTGAGTTGAAAGCAATGTCACGTAAGACTGAACAACTAGGAAAATCATTAGATTTTGTGGACTTTTCCTCCTTCCTTCCTTCCTTCCTTCCTTCCTTCCTTCCTTCCTTCTTTCCTTCCTCTTTCTGTCCCTTTCTTCCTCTCTTTCTATTTCTTCCTTCCTTCCTCCCTCCCTCCCTCTCTCTTTCTGTCCCTTCCCTCTCCCTCTTTCTATTATTTCTTTCTTTCTTTCTTCTTTCTTCCCTCCCTCCCTCCCTTCCTTTTTCTGTCCCTCCCTCTTTCCCTCTTTCTATTTATTCCTTCTTCCTTCCTCCCTTTTCTTTTTGTTTTAAATATTGTATGTTACATAAGTTGAATGGCTACATCTGAGATCTCGTCCTCACTCCCAGAAGATATATTGTCTCAAATCTGATTTTAGAAGATTATGGGAAATTTTGGAAATGACTATTATGGGGATGCAGAGAAACTAAATGCTTTATTGAAATATATTCTTTCATTTTGGTAAGAAGAAATTACAATTTGAGATTTATCTCCATCGCTTGCAAGTGGGATGAGGAAAATGAACTGATATATGAAAAATGAAATGATCTAATCAAAAGATTTACTGTTCAACATCGGAAACACAAATATATGGCTCCAACTATTTAGTGGGCTGTAGAATTAATTAATACACACCAACCATGGATGACTGCAATGAATTGTGGCTTCGAATGTTTCAGTATATGTACATTTATAAATATGTATTTTGCAGATTTTTGTTTCCTTTTTCCTGTTTTATTCTTTCCTTAATTTTTTTAAAAAATAAACTTAAATGAGTACAAGAACCACCTCCATCACCCAATCAAATGGTCCCATAATGCATGTGATCAGAGCCTATTTGTAGCTTCTTAATCAGAATGGAGCTGGAAGGGAGCTTGGAGGTCTTCTAGTCCAGTCCCCTACTCAACCAGGAGACCCTATGCCATTTCAGACAAGTGGCTGTCCAGTGTCTTCTTAAAAGCCTCCAGTGATGGAGCACCAACAACTTCTGGAGGCAAGCTGTTCCACTGGTTAATTGTTCTCACTGTCAGGAAATTTCTCTTTAGTTCTATGTTGGTTCTCTCCTTGATTAGTTTCCATCCATTGTTTCTTGTCTTTCCTTCTGGTGCTTTGGAAAATAAGTTGACACAAACGACTTCTGTGCATGTGTGTTTGTATAATGAATCTGTACCCATCAGATCTACTCATTATGGTAACCTCTAATGACATCTCCAGTTAGAACTTGCCCATTCCTCCTTCTTTGGCACTCTGTATTCCTGACCTTTGGAATAGTTTCTCTTCTCCTTCTTTGTCAAAATGCAAAAGTATCAATGTCAGATGAGAGTAGAAAGGTTATTCCTTCACCATTATTTATTTTGATTCATGTATTACTGCACTTCTAGACTGCCTAGTAACAGTAGCTTGCTCAGCCCTGTTCAGATCAATTAAATTACATATTAGTAAAAATAAAATAGCAGTCCTGGTAATAACAGACATAAATATATTTAGAATAAAGATCACCATCCAAGTCACACGGGAAATAGTTTCCAATCCCATTGAGAGATTTGCATCCTGGTTTCAGAGCAGGGAGAAAACAGAAGGGAGAAAGGTTGCAGAGCTGACCAGACTAGGTCTGCAACTTTTTGAGTGTCATTGACTGAAAAGAAGCATTCCTTCACAAGAAGATCCAGGAAGGAAGGAAGGAAGGAAGGAAGGAAGGAAGGAAGGAAGGAAGGAAGGAAGGAAGGAAGGAAGGAAGGAAGGAAGGGGAAGGGAAGTGAGGAAGGAAGGAAGGAAGGAAGGAAGGAAGGAAGGAAGGAAGGAAGGAAGGAAGGAAGGAAAGATGGAAGGAAGGAAGGAAGGAAGGAAGGGAAGGGGAAGTGGGGAAGGAAGGAAGGAAGAAAGGAAAGAAGGAAGGAAACGGAAGAAGAAAATAGTTTGACTTTCTGTTCTTTAAAAATGTTTAAACCTTGAAACAGCTTCATAAATTATTTTAAGGATATTTTTCCATTTATGTTTCAACATTGGCATCCTACTCAAGAAGAATAAAAATGCAATGCAAAGCCTTTGAATGCAATTTCTGGATGTACATGTGATCTTAAACAAGATTTTACTGCTAGGGAGAAATATTTCCCTTGTTTACCTCTTTTTCGATGCGGTATAGTGAAGGGGTTCTGTGAGGCAGAATACCAGTATTAATTTGGGTTTGAGTGAAATGGGAACAATATGCAGTGAAGTGCTGCAGCTCTCAGGCAAAACAGAGGAACAACAATTAAAACTGGTGAAAATTCTTCTGATGAAAAGGGGCAATTTCAGCCAAGAAGCTGATTTAGGCTACTCACTACTTTTCAGAAGAGATCATGGCAGTTAAATCTGCCCAATAGAATTGACTTCAAGTGAAAATGATTTTCTTTTTCTGGCAAAATTGCAAGAATGACCTGGCAGTTAAACAGGTTTAGGAAGATTTAAAAAAACATCACAGGGATCATTACAACTCAGAAAACTCTGATGCTTATTAAGACAGACCAAATGGCTGCCTTATTTAAGGGACAGCAATATTCATAGCCAGCACATATTTTCCCCTATATTTTGAATAATTATTGCATTCATATGGACTAGAAACTTCTACAATAACATATTGTTAACAGAGAGGTTAGAAATTTAACTTTGCTGTTGATTAACCTGTCAGCTATTTTATCTTCACATAGATTTGATGATGATAGATAGATAGATAGATAGATAGATAGATAGATAGATAGATAGATAGATAGGCAGGCAGGCAGGCAGGCAGATAGACAATACTGCCTTCATATGAACTAGAAACTTCTTTTCTTAAAACAAATCTGAGATTCTCCTGAAGCTAGATTTCTAATGCCTTTCTTTAGATTTTGGAATTATATGCTTATAGATGGGGCACTATGCAGGGAAATTCTTTGCTTTCCTAGTTTAATATCATTGTGGTTAACCTTGTAGCTTCTAAACCGATATGAAAACCAAAATCCACTTCATCTTTGAAATCTGCATCTCTCTGAGCAGTGCACAAATTCAGATGGCTAGATAGTGTATACGTTAATGCAAAATTCATAGAAAAAAAATATCCATAGAAAGTCTATCTTGGAAAACATAATCTTAAAAATGCATGATATTGGGTAATAACATGACCTAAAAATGATATATTAGAAGAAATGAGCAAAAACACATTCTCCAGTTTTGAGAGTATGAAAAAAAAGAGAAACAATTTGCAATTTTGCTTATTATTCATAGTTTTACAATCAATTTCCCTTAATCAAGTACATTCATTAACATCATTTTATGAATGTGTGTATTTTTTGCAGGTTTCACTTTCACACACATAGGTTTCAGTTTTTGACCATCTGTGCTGCAAAAAGTTTAGAATTGAATAATTACTGGTCTGTGCACTGGTTGAAAAACGCAACAGAATCTTGTGGTCAAACGGTAACTTATTTTCCTCTCTCAAGTGTAGTATATTACAGTTGGTCTCACAGTCAGCCAGATGTTTAGACTGGATTTGACATTTTTATCCAGACAATTGAGTCCTTCCCAAGAAACTGGGATAGGCAGATGTTGTTTAATAATATTAAAAGCATTGTCTTAGAATGTATGTTGTCCCAAGTCAAGCTGTTTTTTTGCAATTGACTGATGGGGATTTGGTGAATGCTGATGGTGTACAAGTAGTGCCCCAGATGTTTTGTTTGCTTGCTGTTGTTGTTGTTGTTGTTGTTAGGTGCCTTAAAGTCAGTGTTGACTTCTAGTGACTGCCTGGATAAGTCCCTGCCTTTTCCTGACAAGGTGCTTTGAAAGTAGTTTGCCCTTTCACCTTCTTTCTAGAGGTAAGAGAGAATGACAGGTCCAAGGTCATCCAGTTGACTTTGTATGTAAGGTGGAACTAGAATTCACAGTCTCCTGGTTTCTAGCCTGGAGCTTTAACCACTAGACCAAACTGGCTTCCTCCTATCTTACTCTAGTTGCAATGATTGTATATTATGGTAGTTGTAATAAGCCCTGCAAACCGTGGAAGCTCATTAGCTTTGGCAATAAGACGGTGCCAAGAAGCACCGTGTTGCAAAATGTTTATAAAATATACCTTGACAATACCAGACTGCTGTGAAAACATCTTCAAAAGAAAACAGATTTAGTATTTCATTGATGCAGCTGATAGAAAAATTTGCAAAACATCAAACAAATACTAATACCGATACCTTTGGAAAGCAAATTAGGAAAATTGTTGCTGACAAATATTCCCACTGACATAACAGTGGGCATTGGTGAGCCTTTGTTTACAATATCCCATTATGAAAAATACAATAAATGCCCCAAAGAAATATGTTTATTCATTTAAATGGTACTTTTATCTTTGGTTTTGGTGATGTATAGAAAACATTCTTCTTGAAATCTTATTTTTTTCCCAGTGGAGGAAAACAACTCTTAGTACACAGGGTGAAGACCTAAAAATGGCGTAGAAGCCAGGATTGTGCGTGATTTCAGCTACTGTTGAAATCAAGTGCCTTTACTTAATTATGCATCATGCTATGTTTTCATAATTTATGTCATTGTAATTTTGATAGAATGCAGAGATCAGGAGCTAGAGGCATGGTCCCATAAGTATGTTTTTCCAAATGGGGAAATACTAGGGGGATCATGATTAGGATGGTTAGAAATAGTCTACTCCCAAAATTCAATAGTGTCTAATTTTTCTTGTTTTGCTTCCTGTACTCTTTCTCCACCTGTTGCTGCCACTGAAGAAGACTAAATATCTTCTGAGCTTGGATATCCTGTCAGTTGAGTCAAGGTTAACCAAGAAGACTCCAAACATCCAGAGATGAATCACAAGATGGGGCTTCAGAAGATGCTCTGAAGCAATGGTTCTCAACCTGTGGGTCGGGACCCCATTTGGGGTCGAACAACCATTTCACGGGGGTCGCCAAACAACGCAGTCCGCCATTTTTCCCCCCTTTTCCTTAGCTGTGCTACTCCCTTTTATTCTATTGGCTTTTGAAAGCCAATAGAATAGACTCTCTTGAATAGAGTCTAATTCTATTGGCTTTCAAAAGCCAATAGGAATTGTCCAGGCTGTCTCTGCCCTGCTGAGCCCACCAAAAGTCCCATTCTGCAAACGGTGCTGCACCAGTTGAGTAGACCTTGACTTACGACCGGTTGAGTAGTCCTCAGCTTACGACCGGTTGGGGGTCGCGGCATTAAAAAGGTTGAGAACCACTGCTCTGAAGAAAGCCTTGGACTGAGAGGCTCCTCTTAGTCCTTGGAATGTATATCAGAAAGTGCAAATACAGATAGCTATCTGGTTACCAAGTAACCATCAAAGAATCAAAAATAAGAATTACTGTTCTTATTAAGTGAAAAGCAGAAAGGATGTACTATAGCTGAACTATGGAACTGTGGTCTGTCCTCTCTATAAAACTCTGTAGTCTTATGGTAGACGGAAAGTGTTTTTAGCTAGCTTCTGATTTATTTGTTTTGAAGTCTCCTGTTCTCCTGTCTCTTCCTGAATATTCTGATTTGCGACGGACACTCAATGGCCAGGCAGGATAATGAAAAAAAAAAAAAACTGTGGACCAGGTCACAAACAATTTGCAACCTGTCTAAACAAGAAAAGGAATAGCAGCAATGCTTAGCAAAATCAAACAATGAAGATTGGGGTACGCTAGAAAAACAATCAAGATACCCAAAGAACAAATGGTTCAATAACATAATGGGCATAATGGGTACCAATTTAAGAATATGCCTGCATGACAGTTGTCCCCTCCCCCCCCAAATCCACAACAAATTGAAAATTTTAAGCCCTGAATCAGGCGGGGGGGGGGAAGCTAACTCAGCCTTCAAAGGTCAGCCTTCTGCTAACAGTTAAGGTCTTAGTCTTTGCCAAGATAGATTCAGTGATTTGATTTTGTAGTCTTTTCAGAGTTGGAAGGAATAGGGAGGTCATATGGAGGTAGGCTAGTAATTCAGTTTCAAAAATCTGCCCATTTCAAACACGAAGGATAGAACATTAAACTTTTTTATGTTGGTCAATGGCCATACTGAAGATTTGTTCAACTTGCAGTCAGACTTGTATACCACTCCATAATGCTTTATGTAACCACTCAAAGCGGTTTACAGAGTCAGCCCAACAATCTTAGGTCCTCATTTTACCCACCTTGAAAGGATGGAAGGCCGAGTCAACCATGAGCCGATCAGGATCAAACTGCTGGCAATGAGCAGAATGCAATACTTCATTCTAACCATTGTGCCACCCCAGCTTGCTTGCTTGCCCATTCATTCATTCATTCATTCATTCATTCATTCATTCATTCATTCATTCATTTATAATTCTTATGCTGCTCATCTCTCTTGTAAGGTGACCCTGGGCGGGGAATATATTCTTGGAAGTACTGCCTCCAAAATTGCCTTGACTTTCACTGTAAAGCATTTGTGACTCAAAGCATTCATAAAATGTTATCTAAAAATGAATGGAAAGAAATATTGAGCCCTCCCAGCTGAAAAGTCCTAAACACCACATGTGTCTGAAGCACATGTTTTTCATTCTTATACTATTAAATGGTGGCAAATATATGCAGTTTTTTTTCTTGAGATTCTAGCTAGATTCTTTTTTTTTTATTTCTTACTCACCAAAAACTAAAATTTCCTCCTTAAATGTTTGGTTACCAGAGCTATTTTATCATGCTTGGGTGTTTGTAACTATCTATGGGTTATGTGTAGGGGAAAGATATCCACCATTAACTTTAATATCCATCATAAGGGAAGCTACTCTAGTTAGTATTTATTTAGGGAGCACCTTGAAAAAATGCTATGCCTGAATTTATTGCTATGAGACATGGCTCAACCAGGTTGCAAGAGTCCCTGGTAGATATTTGTTCCTTTCCAAGCAAGGAAAAAAGGGAAACACAAGGATGGTTGTATGCTAAAGGCATAAACAAGCAAAAATAGTTGATTAAAATTTCCCATCAAATTTTATTGGCTAAGGTAGGGCATTAAAGTAATGCTAGCAAAAGGTCTTGTTGGAGAAAAAGAGAGGGAAGAAAGGAAGGAAGGAAGGAAGGAAGGAAGGAAGGAAGGAAGGAAGGAAAGCCCTAGCAGAAGGCTAAGAGATGTAAATAAATATTTCTTGGACAGAATATGCAAAGCTGTATAACTGGTCTGTCAAGATTACAGTGATAAAAACAGCCAACACTCCGATAGGTCAGGTGAGAGATTTTTTTTTGCAGTAATACAAAACCTTTTATCTGGGAAAAATCCAGGGCCTTCTAAATTCAAACTGTCAAATGGTTTCTTCTATTTTTTTCCCCATTAATGCTTTGCCAAAAGCTGCCATGATGTTTCTCCAATTTTTGATTTTTTGTTTTTCTACAATTTTTCTAGATTATTCTCAAATAGCTTAACCATTCCATTTTATTTTCTCTTGGTTTTGGTTTTGCACTTTCAGAGGGAATGAAGGTGATGGTGGTAAATTTGGTAGGGCATCTTTCCATCCTTATGAAATCTTTCTAGCTCTCCCTACTACCAAGAAAAATCTATGGAAGTTTTTTTTTTTCCCCCCTTGGAATCAAAGAAATTTGTTGCAAGCTAGGGAAGCTGCGGGAAAGTGGAGTTCGCAAAGCAAGGAGCAGCAGCATCACACACATTCTCGTTCTCTCGCTTTCTGAAATCACATAATCCAGGAACATTTCTCCACGATTCTTCTCCCTTGGAGGAACGTTTAAGGTATACAGGAAGTGAACTGGTAGGACAAACAAAATCATGCAGAATTTTGTTTTTCCAAGGCATTGCCTCATAGGAAACATGACGCCGGATGGGAAATGGAACTGGGTAATCTTCAAGATCCTTTCCAATTTCACAATTCCATTTCTATATTCAGTGTAGAAAATTTGAGTTTGGATACACAGGTAGTGGCCACAGCTACCACATATAATATTGGAGTCTTCTATAACTGCTGGGTCCAATCTGGGTCGGTCACCAGGACCAGAGATTCTGACCATTCAGATTCCAGCTGGAGCTTCAGGGAACTTCTCTCTAGCAGAGTGTCTTCTATAACATTCAGTTGGGCTCCCTTGCTCACCAATTTCTAAATTCTTTTTTTAAAAAAATATGGTTTGTTATTTTAATAAAGCCATTATCTGAGAGCTGTTATCACTTTTATCTCCAGAAAAGCTGCTCTCTGGCAAAAAAAAAAAAAGGGGGGGGGTACTGCTGAGTCAGTAAGACAAATCCTACTTTATTGGGTCTTCTCCAACAACTTGAAAATAGCAATACTTATCACCACCAAATCTATGTCAATATCCTGCAGAATCCAGTCGCTATTAATAGCTGCCAAAGCTACAATAGAAGTCCTTGCTCCGTTCCACCATAAGATGAGAGCCGGTTCCGTGCAATGTAGGACTTGATTGGCAATTCATTCTGCATGATATTCCCTCACTTATATAGAGACGTGTTGTAGCTGTTCTGCTTTATGTTATTATTTCAATATTGGTCGGTGCCCATAATAAAAAGATGACAATGAAGAATGCTTCTGGAGCCTGTTGGCATTATTAGAAAATAATAACATTTTTTTTTTTTAGAATGATCCATTATCTGTTCAGGGAAAAAATAAATAAACTGGAGCTATACAAGACATCCTGGACAGCTAAAAGGAGAGTCAGCAAGGCAAACTCACCTGTTTGTTTCCGTTAAGTATTTTCTAACTACAGGTAGTCCTCGACTCCAATTGTGTCTTTTCTGCCTCTGTGGGAGTACATAGTTGAACTTTAGATAATGGTATGCAAGCTCCTGAAATATTAAAATTATCCTTAATGCATCCATGTGTTAGCTGAGGAGGAATGTTATGGAACTGCATACAATTAGCTTGTAAACACTCAAATTAGGATCGAAAACTACCTGATATGACAAGCCCCCCCCCAAAAAAAAACCCCTCACAAATGCCATAAGCGATAGCTTCATTTGCAGGAATACTCTTGCAAAACATGATCTCATAATTTTACAAATGCAGAGAAAAAGAAACCTCTATCATTCTGGAAGAGATAATAGAAAATGCTAAAAGCAAGTTGAAGCCAAGATTCAAGACACTTTAAGAAGTGTGAATACATCTGATAATGAACCATTATGTATAAATTAAGTGTGAAGCACTCTTAGCTAACTGAAATTAAATCTCACGAGGATGCAAACTAAGAAAGGATGAAGAAATGTGAGCAATTACTTCTACCATAAACACGGGAAGTCCACTACATGCGAGAGAAGAACTAAGAAGATGATGGGATTGGTATAAATGTAAACCTCAAAACCCAAATTCACATAGCAAAGAAGAGAAGTAAAAATTAAAGCGGAAGGATCCCACAAATCTAGGGATGTGATATAGAGAAAGTGAAGGTATTATACATGAAGTCTCCATACCTGTTAGTATTTGAAGATGGCATTCCAACCTATTTTTAACAAAAAGCAGGAAGATGGAATAATGCAAGAGAATACCAATGATTTGCTGATTATGAATGAGACATTGTTAACAGACATTAGCAGTATTGAAAATTATCCATATTATAAAAATATCGAAGGGGCTACCACAAAGAAGAAGGTGTCAACCTATTCTCCAAAGCACCTGAAGGCAGGACAAGAAGCAATGGGTGGAAACTAATGAAGGAGAGAACCAACCTAGAACTAAATGGCAGTGGAGATTCTCAGTCATCCAGGTCATAATCAGTGGTGGAATTCAAATATGTGAACAACCGATTCTCTGTGTGGATGCCAGTTCCGGAAGTCCATTCTGGGCCTTGGCAACAAAAAAATTAGCTACTGGTTCTGCCAAAGTGGTGCAAACTGGCTGAATCCCACCACTGGTCATATCCCAAAGGTGCTTTTTCATGAGGCAACTGGACTTTCTTGTTTTTCTTTGAAGACTTTTCGCTTCTTATCCAAGAAGCTTCTCATCCAAGAAGGCAGAGTCAAAGAAGCTTCTTAGATGAGAAGCGAAACGTCTTCAAAGAAAAACAAGGAAGTCCAATTGCCTCGTGAAAAAACTCCTTTGGTATAACCTAGAACTAAGGAAAAATTTCCTGACAATTAGAACAATTAAATCACGGAATGATTTGCCTCCAGAAGTTGTAGGTGCTCCAACACTGGAGATTTTTAAGAAGAGACTGGACAACCATTTGTCTGAAATGATATGGGGTCTCCTGCTTGAATGGGGAGGGGGGTTGGACTAGAAGACCTCCAAGGTCCCTGCCAACTTTGATATTCTGTTAAAACAAGAAATTCTGCTAAACGCTGGGAATGGGTTCCTATGGTACTTTGGAGATCTGAGCAGATATATGAGCGTTGATCAATATGTTTGCTTCCCATGCAATGAACCACAAAGCACAGCTGGTACAGTTATTGTGAACAAAACCGATCAATTTCATCATGAAATGTAGAAAAAAAAATAGTCTCATGAAGCACAACACACTCTTCAGAAGAAGTCATGGACAGCCAGCTAATATTGCTCCTAAATTTTATCTTAAGACAAGTTTTTAGTCAGATGAAGTTCCCCTTAAGAATACAGAGGGGAAAACATTACCAAAATTTATTAATTGGGTTGTAAAGCAGGACATCTAAACTGGCTCTAAAATCCAAATATGGAGAGTAAATCCCCTTTCCATTGGTCAAGGCTGATACAGAAACCATCCTTTCATTCTCTCTCCTTTCCCCAAATCCATGTGAAGATTTTAATAGGTTGATCGAAACAGTTGAGGAAGCCTCAGCATGTTGTTTGAAGAGTGTTTTGGCCAGAGTTTGATCATTCTATATTCTATCCATTCAGAAAATTAGAGCAAGCCCAACATTTGAGGCCAGAAGGAGATATTTCAGACTGGCTTAAAGATTGTATAGTGATTGGCACAAAGGCCAGGAAGGAACCAGATTTTTTTTTCCCCGTTTCTTTTAAGAACTAAACAGAACTACTGTGTGAATCTTCCCCTACATTTATCAGGCCCAAAATTTCTACAGACAATATATTGCCAATTAATGTTGACCTTTGGGAGAAACAAAATATATCAAGGGATGGAAAATGAATTCCATTTCAGAAAGATAGCCAAGTTGCCAAAGAGTTCCAGCTGCTATACTTAAATAATAATAATAATAATAATAATAATAAAAATCTGAGGGGAGGAGAAATTCCAGTAAAGCACAGTCTGGGAAAGGGGCCTGGTGTGTAGTAAAATTAGCTGAGAAATATTTGAAGATCTGTTTCCATCCAGCTTTAATGATTTTGCCCCTTGTTAACAAGGCTGTTAACAAGATTAATCTGAACTCAGCAAAAGTCTTTTGGATATGCTGTAGTTGAGTTGAGCTGAGTTGAGTTGAGTTGAGTTGAGTTGAGTTGAGGAGGAGGAAGAGGAGGAGGAGAAGGAGGAGGAGGTCCTGGAAAAATCCATTATCAACAGATGGATGGATCACATCAAGAAGCAATGACTGCATTTGCACAGAACAAAAGCCAGATGGCTTCTTCTGTTGTTTAAGTTTGCCAGTGACTTGTTTTGCTTTTTTTTGTTTTGTAAAACAAACTCTGTTTTTGCTTTCGTGTTTCTCATCAGTAAGCATTGCTTTATTTATCTACTTAAAAGGTGAAGTCTTCAAGTTAAGATAAACTCCTGATGAATAAATCGAATGCATCCAAGTATTGTCTTGATGATAAAATGAAAGGGGTTGATCATTGCCACCTTTTGCAATGTGTTTATCCACCTGCCAATGTAAGCTAAACCTTAGAATTTCCTGGTGATCTCTCATTCAAGCAATGACCTGGTCCAGTTCTGCTTTCTTTTACTAAGAGCAGCCAAGGCCACGGGTGCTGCAACCTATATATACCTATATATGTTTTATATGCCATATTTATGAAGATTGCAAGGTCTTAAAAAGGGAGTTATTTATGTAGCTATTTAAAACTTCCCTCATACTCCTTGTAGACCACTCTGGGCTGCTTAAAGGAAAATGAAGGGGAAGGGGAAGGGGAAGAGGAGAGGAGAGGAGAGGAGAGAAAAAATATATTCTAGGTAAACAGAATATATTCCTGGCAGTCACTAAGTACTAAGTAGGTCTTATCTTCATTAACATTGCCATGACCAGCCAAGATCAGCTAGGAATATGTTAGTTTTCTGCATTTGTTGTTGTTGTTAATTGCAAAGTCGTGTCCGACCCATCGCGACCCCATGGACAACGTTCCTCCAGGCCTTCCTGTCCTCTACCATCTTCTGGAGTCCATTTAAGCTCATACCTACTGCTTCAGTGACTCCATCCAGCCACCTCATTCTCTGTCGACCCCTTCTTCTCTTGCCCTCCATTTTTCCCAGCATCAGGCCCTTCTCCAGTGAGTCCTTCCTTCTCATCAGGTGGCCAAAGTACTTGAGTTTCAACTACAGGATCTGGCCTTCTAAAGAGCAGTCGGGGTTGATCTCCTCTAGGACTGACCGGTTTGAACGCCTTGCAGTCCAAGGGACTCGCAGGAGTCTTCTCCAGCACCAGAGTTCAATGGCCTCAATTCTTTGTCGCTCAGCCTTTCTTATATTTCTTATATTTCTGCATAAGGGAAATTAATTAATAAACAGTCCAAAAATCATTCCATCATAAGAGCTTTCCTTATCAGCATCCTGAATTAAACAGTTTTTATTCTCTGTATACTATCCAGAAAATGACTGCTTCTGGACAGAATAAAAATGCAATGCAAATTCAGTTAATAAAGTATATCCCCATTACAGTGGAAACCAAGACCAAAAAGACGTTCCTCATGCAAACAAAAGCTGTAAAGCTACTTTGTTATACGTGTTAATCTAATGTGGCAGTGCTAATGTTAGGATGACTTTTATTAATGGTCTCTTATAACTTCAGGAATATAAAGTAACAAATGGGGAGGGTCAAGTATAAATCTTGGCAGGAACCTGAATGCTGCTCTCTAAGAAAAGAGAGAAATTGCTGTTTGGGAAGATCCATTTAATCGAAGAGGGATGCTTGCAAGAGATTACTTAATTCACTCAATTGCAGTAGGTTAATAACTAACACTCAAACAACAAAAGGAATAACTAACACTCAGACAACAACTGAGAATATTATCTGCTAAATATCTCGTGCAAAATATATTGTTATTTAGCACTTCTATTTCTTTCAAATACAAATAGCTGATGGGCTGTGATCTTACTCCATGATAGTAAGCATAATGTTTGGATGTTAGATGCTTATCTAATAGATAATATATTGGTAGATATTTATCCATTTCAGTCTTGCCTCTGAAAATAAAATTAATCCTTTTTTGGCAAACAGCCAGGACATTTTAAAAGGTTTATTCCATTTCTCCATAGAAAGACCAAAAGAAAAAAGAAAAGAAAAGGATAAGAAACTAACAAGAATCCATGTTATTTAAACTGGAAAACAATAAATGTAATTTGTATGTTTACAATCCTAACCCTGCTCCCCATCAACTTGAATCAAGAAGACAAGGACTATTTAAAAAGAGTGAGGAGGAAAGGAAAGGAAAGGAAGTTTGAATCCAGTCATCAGGAGCAAAGGTGAATTAGTCTGAATCAAAGAAATAAGGAACACCAATGAATGTATTATATTATTGCATATTCATTTAAAAAATGGAATACAGTCCTGACTTTCAAAGTGTACCTATGTATGTATGTGTGTATGTCTATATGTGTGTATGTCTGTGTTTGTGTGTGTGTCTGTGTATGTGTGTGTGTAGGCATACATACATACATTACAGGGA